CCTTCTGCCCAGTTGGGAAAGGCCTGGGATCAGACCCAAAACACAGGCTTCTTTGAGCCCTTTCTTTGGTTGAGAAAAATCTCAAACTGAAGTCACCTTTGTTCCTCTCTTTAGAAGGAAAATAAACAGGCAGTCCAGAAACCAGCAGACTATGAGTGGGCCGGAGCCGCCTGCGCTCCAGGGACCCCTGTGCCAGCACAATGTGTGGGTTACCTGAGTCTCTGGGGGAGCAGGCACTGTAGCCTCCTCTGTTAGATATGTAAGTGAACTTGAACTCTAAACGTTCAGCCCACAGTATGGGGGGCGGTATTAAAGATCACAGGCATATAATGGTTCAATACTGGTTTTTGGTTTTGTTTTTTCAGGGCTGGTGACAGAACCCATAGGCTCACAGATGCTTAGCAGGCCTACTACTGAGTGACACCCCCAGTCCCAATATTGAGACTTCAAGGCAAGTTGTGCAAGAAATTGTGACAATCTTAATGTCCGTGTTGGAATTCCAGGGCCTTTAATCTAGTTGGAGAAAGGAGTGTCTAGACCAAGGGTTCCTGCACGAATATCCTGACCAATACTCAGCCGGGGGTGGGGGAGGTCACTTTTCAGCTCTTCCTGTTTGGAATGTGTGGGTCACATTCTCCAGGTGTGTCTAACTAACTTCAGGCAGACAAGGGGCTTGTCCCCAGCAAGTGTCAGAACTACACTCAAAACCCAGCTCTTCCCCACCCATGACAATGTGACTTCCGCTCTTCCTATTTTTGTTTATTCTGTGGTGGAACTGAGGGTGGCAACAGGACTGCCAGCTGTGCCCTGACCTCCCAAGAAAGCTCTCCCACCGCTGGCTCGCACAGGAATAATGTTCTCCCACAGCCCCGGCCTTTCTGCTGCAACCACCTCTCCGGGGACCCCAGTTTCTTTCCACATCGCTGTACCTGACCTCATTCGTTAACAGATGGAAAAAGAGACATTTTGCTTGACCACAAGAAATGGCCCTCGATTTTGTGAAAATTCCCTTGAAGTTTCTGCTGGTACCCAGCCTGTGACAAATGCATCATTGTGTGTGTTGTGACTTGGTTTCAAAAGCACCAGAACCTGAACCCAGCCCCTATGAAGGCAGACGCCCAGGCCCCAACCCCAATCCTGCCTTTCAGGCCTGCTCCCATGAGATGAGGTTCCTTGAGGTTTCTTTCTTTCTTTTTTTTGGGGGGGTGGTTTATAAAAATTGTGAAATTTTATCATTGTTATTATTATTTTTTATTGTTTTATTATTCATATGTGCATACAATGCTTGGGTCATTTCTCCCCCCCGCCCCCACCCCTCCCTTACCATCCACTCCGCCCCCTCCCTCTCCCCCCTCCTTGATGTTTCTCATTGGACCCTCATTCCTGACACTTGTGAGGTCTAACCCCATTCTCACATGCCTGAGGATCCAGCTTGACATCACTGCAGCCATCTTCAGTCCTATGGCCACGATTACCCTGAGGGTTTTTCCTGCATTGTCTCCCAACAAAATCATACGGTCACACTTGGGGCTTTGCCACGAGACCCTGGCTCCAGGGATGTGCCTGACTCTTCAGTAGTATTTGAAGATTAACCATATGCAGTCCAGCCAGTATGAAGTCACTTTTGTCCTAATCCATGCATATGCCCATCTTTCTGACCTAAATTGTTGGGATCCAACTGACTGGACCCAGTCCTGCTACCCAGGACCAGGCTTTGTCAGTAAGTCCCCAATAAAAAATTAATTAAAACTATAGAAATTGTTCTAGATGGTCACTACAGCCTCTTGAAGCATTAGGCTTCTGTGCTCTCCATGGCGTATCCCGTAAGTGAGCAACCACTTCCATTTCAGGTACTCACTCTCATCTGGGAGGGGCTGAGTGGCCTCACTGCGGTTGCCTTTGTCACCCATACTGATGGAGAGCTCTGTGCCATCGAGGCCGGCTCCACCACCTGATCTTCACTCACCCTGAGACAAGAGAGACCCTGCTGTCTTTTTATAGCTGGGGATCTGAGGCTTGGGCAAGGTTAAAAGATCTGCCTGTGGCCACCCCGCTAGATGAGGCAAAACCAGGCTGGGCTCCCAGGTCACTGTGCTCCAGAGCACACACTGTGCCACGCAGATGCCAGGTCTCAGCAGAGGGGAGAAGGAGCTGAGCCTGCTGTGACAACACCCACAGTCATCACTCAGAGCTGCAGGAAGGCCAGCACTCCCAAGTCTTTCCTGGAGGATGTGGGTGCCAGGTGGTACATGCTGTCCACAGCCTTCAGAGGGAGGGACCATGCCAAGTACGTTCCCTCAATGAAGTACAAAACCCTGGGTGTCTCGTCCGGCAGTGCTGGACACAGAGCTGCTGGACAGGGATGGGTCAGACGAAGTGGAGCCAGAAAGGAGGAGGAAAGGGGAAGCAGACACAGGCCAGAAAGCACTCTCGCCAGCCGGCTGGCACACACACCTCTTACCATCACCTTCTGTGGTTACAGCCAGGCCTTCAGAGCCCCCTGCCCTCCTCCCTCTCCACGTGCCTTCCAGAGCAACACCTGTCCAGGCCCAGACACCTCCTTAGGCCCACACATCCAAGGTCACCCCACTCTGCCCCAGAGTGGGGCAGGCCAGGGATTTCCACATAATCTCCACTCCTGCCCCAAATTTGCCCCTTCTTGTGCTTTGGTCTCTACAGTCACCTGAGCTAAAAACACCAGTGTCCTCTTCAGCTGCTCCCCATTGTCGCCACCGTGTTGACGTGCACCCTAGCTCTCCCTCCTGCCATGCCCTCTGTCAGTGCCCAGGGTGACCCTCCAGGCCCCCTGGCCCAGTGCAGCCTCCCTACCACTCTGAGCGGCCTTCTCAAATCCACATTTGACCATCACCGCCCCCCACACACCTCAGCTGGCTCTCCAGTGAGAGAGCAAAGTCACACAGACCTGCCACAACTTCCCACGCTGTGCAGGCTCACTGGTTCCTTCATCCTCCCCAGGACCCCTGACACTGGGGGTGGGATGCCCAGGACTACTTCCCATGACACTGATATCCCTTTGGGCCTTTGTGCTTCCTAAAGTAATTTCCAGTAGTCTTGCTACTCACCCAGGACTTGTCCTTCCAGCCTCAGACCCACTTTGGGCAGAATTCCTTATTTTGTTCCTTTTGCAATGTGCATTCATATATTACTACTAACACAGCACCTCATTTGCATTCATTCACTGGTAAGTCTACGCCCCATGCCTTCTGAGTCAGACGGCTCTCTAGGCTTTAGGAATTAATACATGAATGGCATGAGGCCTGGTTGGTTATTGGTGTGAGAGAGGCCTCTGTGATCTCAACCTTCACAGCACCCCAGGCACACAGGTGGTGCTTTTTACACTCAGATGGATTATTCCAGCTGGGCATAGTGGCTCTTGCCTGTAATCCCAGTTGCTTGAGAGGCAGAAATTGGGAGGACAGGGGTTTGAGACCAGGCAGGGCAAAAAGTTAGTGAGACACCCCCCCACCCCCTACCCCGCCATCTCAATCAATCAACTGGGCATAGTAGTGCATCTGTAATCCCAGCTATGAGGGAAGTAGGAAGGGATAAGGTCTTAGGTAGGAGGATTGCCTAAGGATGGCCCCAGGCAATACCTTGAGACTGTATCTGAAAAATTACTAAAGCAAAAAAGGACTGAAGGGCATGGTCCAAATGACAGGGCCAAGCCCTGAGTTCAAACTCCAGTACCCCATAAAAAAATCTGAATGACTGGGGGTCTTGACTATAGACTGAGTATTAGATACTGTTTAAATATTATTTTAATTTTGTTAGAAGTGATTATGTCACTATGACTATGGATGAGAACATTGGGGCTTTTTCAGAAATGCAAATTTCAGGATTTAATTTGAAGGCGTTCAAATAAAAATAGAAATAAACAAGCAGACACATCAAAATGCGAACAGCAGTGGAACCTCAAAGGCTGGGATAACAGCGCCCATTAATCTGGTCAATCTGAAATTTTCCCACAGTAAGAAAACATTTTTAAGGTGAGTTGAATTGATTGGACGCATTTTCTTAACTATCAAATTATTTACGGTGTCCCTGGCGCAGCACGGGCAGGATCGGCCCTCTGAGCGCCCCGTGCGGGGTGTTCCCAGGAAATTGCTTTTGGCCTCATCATTCCCGCAAGTCAGGCGAGGTCTGTTGACACGAGTGACCCTGAAATGGAAGACGCCTGAGCTTCTGTGAGTCAGAGTGAGCGAGAGCGTTAGGTCATCGGGTCACGCTGGGCGAGCAGCAGCAGCCGTGGGTCCACAGCAGGTGGTCAGCGGGGACTGCCTTGACCACGAACAGGAGAGTAAGGTCTCGCAAGTGTACAGGGCTGGAATTATGCGACTGTGCCACTCCTGAACATGCCCGAGACCTCGGCTTCAGTTCTGGTGTGCGGGTCTTCCGTCACGATCCCCGCCCGCTCCCCACGCACCGCACCACAGCTGCGCGCACGGCACGCGCCTGCGCCGGATGTACTCTTCCCTTCGCATTGTCGCACGCTTCCGAGGGTGGCTGAGGGCCAAATGGCTGCTTCACTCCCTGCGCCCCACTGCCCCGCTCCCCGTCCCCGCGCAGGCGCCTCATCGGGAAGGAAGCCACCGCCCCGCGGCCGCCCACGCGCTGCTGCGCCTCGCTCGCCCACCCGCGGCCCGGGTTCACCATCAGCATCCCTCCGTTTCCACGGCCACGGCGACGCTGTCGGCATTGCCGCTGTCGCCAATCTCCAGAAGTGCAAACAAACACAGGCTAAGTGACAATTAAGAGACCGCGGGACAGCTGGGTTTCCAAGGCCCTCGGTTGGGCTCTCCGCGGTGAGGGGAGGTGGCACCCGGGACCCCGCGCTCGGGAGCCTGGGACCACAGCGGCCGTCACAGCGCCAAGCCCCTCTCGGAGGTCCCCGCCCGTCCGGGTCACGTCGCGGCGGGGCGGGGCAGGGCTGGCGCCGCACTTTAAGAGGCGGTGCGCGCCTCGGCCCAAGGACGCGCGCCATGGAGACAGCCAGGGACTACGCAGGAGCCCTCATCAGGCGAGTTCACACGCGCGTCCCCACGCCCGACTTCTCGCGCCCCGAGTCCTTCGTCCCCAGCCCGCGAGTGCCCCGCGCCCCGGGTCCCCTTCGCGTACCCAGCGCCGCCCACGCCCGCCAGCCCAGCCTGCCCGGGCTCCTCCTCCAGCTGCAGGTGCCGGGTGTGGCGCTCGTGGGCGTCCGCGGAGCAAGTGACCCCGGTGAGTGCCCGAGCGGCCGCATCGCTTGCCGCTCCTGCCGTCGCCGCTGCAGACGAGGGCCAAGGTCCCGGGAACCCTGGCGACGTTTCCATGGTGCGCGGGGACTGGGCTTCTCCGGGTTCTGGGGTCGCGACCGAGCTGGGAGACGAAGGGCCGGGCGGGACCGCTGGCCTTGAGCCCACCCAGGTCCCTAAGGGGACACGGGAAAACGAGGGCAATCTAGGAGCTCGCGAGGCCCCTAAACGGCGGGACACAGCTGCCAAAACGGAGCGGTGGTCCTTGCGCTCTCCCCTTACAAACCACAGAATGCCAAGCCACAGGGGAGGAACACGCAAGCTCTGCGTCTTTGCCAACGCGGTTTTTTAAAACAAAAGTTTATCAAATATACAAAGGCTCCAAGACAAAACTCTGTTCAGCTTATGGTAGCAAAAAGATGCTATGGCAGAGGTGCCAGTGTTTTAAGTAGGACGGGAATCAGGGTTGCCATCACCTCGGGCACAAGGAACAACTTGCTTTGGCCAGATTTCTTCATTCCACCTGTGGCCAGGGGGCCTTCCTCACGGCCTTCGCTTTTAACTCTTCAGCCCTCCTGTTTTTCTTTCTGCTTGACAGCCTAATTCTTCCTCCTTCATCTCCTCTGCCTGCCTCTGCCGCTGTTTCAGGGGCTTCTTGCCACCTTCGCAGTTGGACATGGCGCCTGCCTTCCTGCCTTCCTTAGCGTTCTAAGCGCAAGGCCAAGGTCCTTGGTTCTTTCATGGTTTGCTTTCTCTTTCTTCAGATTCCCAGAAGGTCAGGAGTGTGAGGAGTTTGGGATGCTTCCTAATATACCTTTTCCCAATGAGTATGAGGCTCCTTCCATTCTACTGGTGCCTGAGGCATTGAGGAGCAGGGCTGAGGCGCAGGAAAGGTCAGAATGCACTAGCCTAGGAGTAGGAGGATTAAGAATTAAGGCTAAACCTGTTTTTGCATCTGACCGTTACAACAGTTTATCAAATCTGAACTGTATCTGGCTGAGGGCTGTGTGGGGTCATGTACTTACAACATGTTGGCAGGCCAAAGCACAATGAAATGTCTGCTTGCCTGACTTTCCTTCCAGCTTGGCAAATGCTAGCCATGAATGCCTTTTTGTGAGGGACAAACTGTTGTTGCAGTTCTGGGAAAATCTACCTCTTCCAGGCCGAGCAGTAGTCATTCTGTGGAATCTTCCCAAACCAAAGTGGAAGAAAATAACCTGTAATATTTGCTAAAGGGAAAAGACTTCTTTTCTTTCCCACCCTTCTTTTAAAAATCCTGTCCAGACTAAGGAGCCCAAGACAAGGTGCTGCCACATTGTGTTCTAAGTGGATCTCTGCCTTCATTTAAACTGCTCAATTTAGAATTTAGTATTGCTGTAACTGTCACTTAGTAGTCGACACCTGCATTTTGCTAGGGAAGTAGCTGAATGTACACTTTTTTTTTTTTTTGGTGATGGTACTGAGATTTGAACTCAGGGCCTCACACTTGCTAGGCAGGCACTCTACCATTTCAGCCATTCCACCAGCCCTTTCCTGTGTTGGCTGGTTTTGAGATAGGGTCTCAGGAACTGTTTGCCTGGGCTGGCTTTGAGGGGAGTTCCTCCTGATCTCTGCCTCCTGAGTTCCTAGGATTTCAGGCAGGAGCCACTGGCTAATACACAGATTTTCTTAAATTAGATGCCGATAGAGCTGGGGGTGTGCTTATCTACAATGCTGGGCTCCATCTCTATACTAGAGAGGAAAAAAACAAAAACAGTCATGAGTTCGTTGATCACCTGTAATCACTGGAGGCTGAAGTCATGAGGAAAGCCACCTGAAGTCTCTTAGCAATCCCTAGGTAGCAGGGATATTCACTCAGCTGTTTATTGTCATAGTCAAAATCGGCTTTGTCCTTCTGTCCTATCCCTGATACATTCATGCCAAACCCCGAAGTTGCTATAAAGCTGTACCCATTATACTTTGCCCAGAATGGCTGCTTTTGTAATTATTTAGAACATCTTCTAAGACTGGCAAGTGTAGCTCGGTGGTAGACTGTGTGTTTAGCATGTGTGAGGACCTGGGTTCCATCCCTAGTACCAAAAAAAAATAAGAAAAAGGAAAACAAAAGGAGAATATCTTCTCAACAAGAAACTTGATTCTATACAGCTGCCATTCTAGTGCAAACTTTGTCACAGTCTTGCTAGTGATATTTGCTAGGAATTCAGTTTTCTACAAGCAAATCTCCCAGCTTTCTGCTTCTTGAACCTCAGATCCTGTTTTCATAATGTCTCAAGAGGTCCAAAGATGCCGCAGTCGTGCATTAACTACCCCTAGTTCACCACACATTTTGGTAAGAACAGCCAGACAGCCTTCGTCCCGACGTAGGGAGGCTTGCTGGCATGTGTATGTCACACAGGACGATCCTGCAGTGACTTGGTGACAGGAAGCCACCAGGCTGCACCACCATCACGAAGAGCCACCCCTCAGGCACTGTCCCTAGAGCCACAGGTCCCTCTCCAAGCCCTGTCTCTCTCTTGGTCACCACTGCTCTCCTTGACATTCGGTGTCCCCCTTGGCGTTTGGCTGATCTTGGTCCTGCTTTTCTCTTGTGGGTCCCTCCTTTTCCAAGCACAATGAAACATGGGGTGTGCTCCACCATCATTGCTCCCAGAACATTCGCCACGTGGTACCTTGCACAGCCTTGGACTGCTACGTCATCCCCAAAATACAGGTGGCCTTTAATTCCATGACTTCCACCTCCCAGGAGTCAACCAAATGCAGAAAACATAATTTTTAAAAACTGCCTCTGTGCAGACTTCCTCTTGTCATTGCTCCCTAAGACCCATAGCATTTACACTGTTACATGTGGTAAGCCATCTAGCAATGATTTAAAGTAGTCACAAGGATTTGGGGGAACTGTATGGACATACTCCATCATTTCATATGTGGGACCTGAGCATCTGTGGCTTTGGTGTCTTGGAGATCCTGGACTCAGTCCCCTAGGATCCTGAAGGACAACTGTGTTTCTCTCCAACCACAACCTTGTTCTTAAACCCGCCTGCACCTTCAGGATAACATCAGTTCACAGGTGGCATAAAAAGAAAGCTTATTTATGGAGCTGGGGGACAGGTAAGTCTTACATGGACTATAAGTCTATGACTTGTCACTTTTATGTCACAGGTTTTTATAAGCTGGCAACTCCCTGCTTCCCTCAGGGAAGAACACAAAGACTTCACTGTTTCCCTCATTGCTGGGAGATAAGCACTTTCACAGTTTTCTAGAACGTTCCATGAATCTGACTGCTATTATCATCTTGATTTCCACAAAACCTAGTTCCTTAAACAACAAATAAGGAAATAGTCTTATTATTTTTCCTTTTAGTGAATTACTTCCCTTCCTGTTTCAGAGTATTATCTGCACCCACTTGCCCAGGAATTAGGGATCAACTGTTCTCACAGGTGGTATAGCAAAAAAAGCAGAATTCTGTTTTTGTGGGTTTTGGTTTTGGCAGTGGTAAGGACTGAACCCAGGACCTCAAGATCTACCACTCAGGAGTCCTGTTTTAACTTGAACAAATTCAAATATTGGGGAAGCAACTCCATTTTAGGCATTTGTGCTAATGCCCAAAAATGTAAAGCATTGTTTTTCCCTGGGCCAGAAAGGGGTTGGATTAAGCAGAGCTGCTTGGCCTGCTGGTCACTTGATCCAGGCAGAGTCTGGACACACACAGCATAAGGCTTCGTGTGCTTAGAAGTTCACTAAGGCCCTTCAAGTGTCAAAATATGAGATAGTCTTGGTTTTATGTAAGTTGACGCATTGAGCCTCTCATCCTCCATCTTGATAAGGATGGTATGATGTGTCGGTCACATCTTCAGTGTTGGTTCTTGGTTAGGAAATAACACAGAAGAAGAACAATGGATTGTGCGTCCTTCTCTGACCATGGCTGTCTTGAGGGCAGGTGGGGGCAGGGAGGATTAGAAGGGACTGCCAGCCCTTATCTTGTCAGATGTGCCAGGTCACAGGCCCACAGGTGCTTTCACAAGCAGGAGTGTCCTCCTGGGAGATGGGGCCCAGCCAACTAGGTCAGAGACGAGCTTTGGCCACCAGGGGCTTGACCTGACATTTGAAGACATGATTTTGTTCTCCAGGGTCTATGACCTCGTCCTGGCATGTCTTCACTCAGTAAACAGATGGCATGCTGGCAGCTGGCCAGGTGTGACGGCAGGTAGATCGTGTACCCCGTGACTGTACAGGTAGACTGTGTGCCCCGTGAGCAGGGTCCCCTTGTGGGTAGTAGCAAGGGCTTCCTGCTGTAGGGGAGAAGACAGGCCCTTGCAGTGAGATCCTGGATTCCCTGTTCTGTGGGATGTCATCTGGTGATGCACACCTGTAATCCCAGCATTTGGAGGATCGAGAGTTCTAGGCCAGCCTGGAGTACATAGAGAAACCGTGTCTTGAAAATAAAAACAAGTAAATCTGGCTGGATTTACTAGGAACATGCCAGTGCACACAGGTGTTGCGACGGGGAATTCATGTCTCTTTCCTCTCTGTGGGGACTACAGCGAGTCACAGTTTCATGCTGAGTAGCTGGGAGTGAAGCCAGGTTCTTAATGGAAGCATCCCCGGTCAGCAGGGTGAGGCTGGTTGTGAATTCTGTCTGGTGTCACCCAGCAGCATGTGGACGTCTTGCTCATCAGGTTGTGTAACTGCCTGCATGACTCCTCTGAATGCGGCAAAAGTTCAGAAGCCCAGTGCCAGGCCTGCTGCTGTGTCAGGGCCAGGCTCTGACTTACCTGGTGGGTCTCTGGTCGCTCCAAGGTAGTTCCCATGGTGGCCCAAGTTGGGGACTCCTGACCTAGCCATTCCGTTTGGCCTCGCCTTACTGGAAGCAAATTGGGCAGTGACTTTGGCCACCTGCAAAGGAAAGGAATTGAGGGTGAACTCAGAATGCCCTTGTACCTTCACCTAGAACAGCTGCCAGTTACTCCAGGTTGACAGTTCACAGGGTAGAACAGCAAATCAAACCACAGCCCTGCTAAAGGGTGGCCTTGAGAAATCACTTCAAGCCTCAGTTTTCTCATCCGAAAAATGGGTAATTCTTTCCCTTCCAAGGGGGTAATGATAATTAGTGAATTTAAAAAGCTAGCACACTGCTGTCATGGCCAGTGCTCATAAGTGAGCAGTTAGGAGGCATTGAGGTTATGCCAGCTAAATACACTTCAGACCAAATTCTTTCTGACAACCTAGATCTGATTACAGAATGCCAGTTTGAGCGTGGTGCCCTGTAATCCCAGCTACACGGGAGGCAGAGATTGGAAGATCATGGAAGGATTTTTCAAGACCCCATCTCAGTCAATAAAAACTGGATGTGGAGGTACATTTCTGTAATCCCTGCTACTCAGAAGGCATAGGAAGGAGGATCTACGTCCAGACAAGCTCAGGTGTAAATGTAAGACCCTATCTGAAAAATAACTAAAGTAATCAAAGGCTGGGCTGGTAACCTGCGTGGTAGAGCACCTGCGTAGCAAACACAGGCCCTGAGTTCAAACCCCAGTGCCACCCCCCAAAGAAACAAAAGGCCAATTTGTTGGCAAAGCTTAGGGAGAGTGGGTGAGTGTAGGGTGTGTGTGTTTGTAAAGTAAAGCACTAAACTGCAGTGTCAGGAATTGGGGGTCACTGTTCACTATTGTGGAGGCCTTCCGAAGTGATGGGCCTGTTGGCGTGAGCTGAACATGACAGTCTCTGAGAGAGAGTCCATTGCCATACCTTAGTTTTTCTCCTTGCAGACTTGGTAAATCACTGATTTATCTTATCTGTCTACCGATAGAGCTTCAAGTTAGACAGCAGACCATCTAACACTTCTGTGCTTAGCACTAAGTGAGGCATTATGGGAAATAAAACCAAGAAGCCTTTGTCCAAAAGGAAATTCCAGTCGAATTAGGAAAATAAAGCACAGATCAATTATTCTGTGTGTGTGCATATGTGTGTGCACATGTGTGTGTCTGTTTATGTGTGTGTGCACGTCTGTGTGCGTGTCTATCTGTGTGTGTATGTGGGTGAGTGTGCACATGTGTGTCTCTGTGTGTTTCTGCATGTGTGTGCACGTGTGTGTATGCATGTGTATGTGGGTGCATGTGCACGTGTGTGTCTGTGTGCGTGTCTATCTGTGTGTACATATGGGTGTGTGTGCACATGTCTGTGTGCGTGTCTGTATCTACGTGTGTATGTGGGTGCGTGTGTGTGTGTGTATGTGTGTGTGTCTGCGTGTATATGTGGGTGCGTGTGCACATGTCTGTGTGTGCGTGTCTGTATCTGCATGTACATGTGGGTGTGCGCGCACACATGTCTGTGTGTGCATCTGTATCTGTGTGTGTGCACGTGTGCGTGCATGTCTGTGTATGTGGGTGTGTGTGCACATGTGTGAGTGCGTGTCTGTATCTGTGAGTATGTAGGTGCGTGTGCACATGTCTGTGTGTGTCTATCTGCATGTATATGTGGGTGCGTGTGCACATATCTGTGTGTGCATGTCTGTATCTGCATGTGTATGTGTGCATGTGCACGTGTGTGTGCATGTCGGTGTATGTGGGTGTGTGCACATGTGTGAGTGTGCGTGTGCACATGTCTGTGTGTGTCTATCTGCGTGTATATGTGGGTGTGTGTGCACATATGTGAGTGTGTGTGTCTGTATCTGTATGTGGGTGTGTGTGCACGTGTGTGTGTATCTGTGTGTATATGTGGGTGTGTGTGCACATGTCTATGTGCATGTCTGCGTGTGTATGGGTGCGTGTGCATGTGTGTGTATGTGTGCGTGTCTATCTGCGTGTGTATGGGTGCGTGTGCACGTGTGTGCGTCTGTATCTGCGTGTGTATGTGGGTGCGTGTGCACGTGTGTGTGTGTGTATCTGTGTGTGTGTGTGTGTACGTGTGTGTGTGCGTGTCTGTATCTGTGAGTATGTAGGTGCGTGTGCACGCATTGGCAATCGGGACAGGTATTCCCTAGGACTTTGACCCTCAGAGACTTCACCTAGACCAATTTGAGGCAGAAGCACCTGTTCTCACTTTGTGTGCTCTACAGGACGTATGAAAAGAGTGACCTGTGTGGGTGATATGTTGAGAGCTTAGCATTGGGCACACAGTTTTAATTCCTGGGAAAGTGCAACTTGTCCCAAAGCTTCACATGGCATGGGGTGCAAAGTCTTCGCTTCTTGTTCTCAGCCATGGTTAGGTGAGTGGGCCTGTTGTTCTGGGCTTATCCTAATCTCAGGAACCCGATGGAGGGGCTGGCATGCAGTGTTGCGGCCAGGGCCTGCCTGGCACGCAAAGGACCTGGTTCCATTCCCAGCACCCAAATCAAAACAAAACTTGGTTGATTGCTGCAGTGACCAAGATGTGGCTTTTAAATTAATTTCTGGGTTAGTCTTATTATATAAACGTGTAATTATTTGCAGGCCTGGTGAGCACCTAACTCTGTAACTCTCTTAACTACATCATGGGCACTCGAAATGCTTTTCTTGGGTTTGTCAGCTCTACAGCCCATCCATATTTGCAGACTATAACCGTTGTTATTATTACTGTTATTTGTGCTGGGGACCAAAGTCAGAGCTCCCTAACCCTGAGCTCCACCCAGCCCCTCGAATTTCATGTTTTGAGTTTGATGTTCTTAATATTCCTTCTCAGACCCTTCCTCAAAGACGTTAGATGTTCCAGCAAAATAGCAATGCAGACGGATGTGTTTTTAACTTGATGGAGTACTTGTTTGTTCCTTGGAGGTATGCCTACGTGTAATTTTTAGTAATTCCTTTCTTTCGGGTGAAATCGTAACACTGCATTTTTCCTGTGGGCTTCAAACTCTCCTTAAAGACTTTTTTAGAAGTGACATCAAAGATGGTTTCCCCTTGCCTTCCTTGCAGGCCCCTGGTGTTCATGGGATCACAGACTAAGAGAGTCCTGCTGACGCCCCTCAGCCCGGCAGCCCGGCCATTCCGAGTCTCCAACCATGACCGAAGCAGCCGGCGTGGGGTGATGGCCAGCAGCCTGCAGGAGCTTGTCACCAAGGTACCGGCCACGCCACTCCCACCCACGCACAGCTGCCCTTGCCCAGCCTAAGCCAGGGTCACGGGTACCACGCCAGAAAGATCAAGAAAGACTGTGTGACATCTTTGTCAGTCCCTGTCTTGGCTTCCAGGGACTGAGGGAGCCATTTCCCAGGGTAAAGGGAGGTCTGAGTCATCAAAGCCAGCCTCACTATCTCTGTACCACAGGGACTGATGGCTGGCAAACACCTTAAAAACAGGGATCAACTGAAAACGTAGCTTTGTGGACAAGGGACTTGTGAAGTCCGGGTTTGGCGTTAAAGGCCAGGAGAGGATAGTCCTAGCCCACCTAGTAAGAAAGAGTCCTAAACCCTCAGACGTGTAACTCTGACAGAGATGCCGATGACTGTGAGAAATGAGTGCCCAGCCTGCAGCCCAAGTCTCTTGTGAGACACAGCATGTGAGGTGTCACACATGCAGAATTGTCCTGTCTGTCACCTAAACTCATAGGCAGCTGTAGAAATGATAACTGTCCAATAGCGTTCCTTATCACTTGTCTTCTGGACGGTAGGATCTGAGCAAGGACAATCACAGATGCCATCAGCGAGTGTCTTTACCAGTAAGGTGAAGACTTCAGCATCATGACTGTTGTCCCGTCCGGTGGGAGTCTCCCGCTTATCCTCTTTCTCTGCTGCGTTGATGACCTAGACTCTGGACGCCCTGGTCATCACGGCTGGACTGGTCACACTGGTGCTGGAGGAGGATGGAACCGTGGTGGACACAGAGGAGTTCTTTCAGACCTTGGGGGACAACACACACTTCATGATCTTGGAAAAGGGACAGAAGTGGGCACCGGTAAGCAACAGCCTTGTCACCCAGCAGCAGCAGCAGGACTGACTTCCCACCTGCAAAGGTGATGAGCAGGCTACTCCCTAAGCACGTGCTCTTACGCTCGCCTGGTGATGGGGTCACAACCTCAGAGGTTCTTATCGTTCTAGGAAACTTGGTGTCACTGTAACTAAGGCTCTATGATTGAAAACAATTCTGAGAAACAGGTTTTGCAGGGAGTAGCCACAGATGCTCTTACGGCAGCATGTCTGGCCTGGTGACTGCTTACTACCCTGCTCCTTTGGAGGCTGGACAAGCTGACGTAGTCATCTGCATGTGTACATGTCTGTGTTGGTTAGTGTTCTGTCACTATAACAAAACACTTAACATAATTCACTTACAAAGAAGGAAGGTCTAGTTTGGCTCACCAAGAGAGAAAGGAAAAGAAAAAAAGAAGGGAAAAGACAAAGTTATATAAGAAAATGGTGATCTGTTTTGTTATACAGGTTTCTCAGGTGTGTAGTAAGGAAGCTCATGCAAACAGAAAGGACCAGTTGTCTCTAGTGTTTATGATAAAATAGTTTTAATCACTCAGTCGTTCAGTCTCCTGGAAAGGTCTTGGGATGGAACCCCTAAGTGTCTCTAGAGCACACTTTTTTTTTTTTTTTAAGTACTAGGCTTGAACTCAGGGCCTACACCTTGAGCCACTCCATCAGCCCTTTTTTTGTGATGGCTTTTTTTTTTTTAGATAGAGTCCTGTGGAACTATTTGCCTGGTCTGGCTTTGAACTGTGATCCACCTGATCTCTGCCCCCTGAGTAGCTAGGATTACAGGTGTGAGCCACCAGCACCTGCTAGACCACACATTTTAAGAAACTTTGCACTCAAACATTTACAGCTAATTCAAAAATATGCAGAATTTAGCAATGTAATGTCTGGGATCTACATTTGAAAGAAGGGAGGAAAGGAGAGCGATAGAGAGAGAGAGAGAGAGAGATGCAGAGAGAGAGAGGCAGAAACAGAGACAGAGAGAGACAGGAAAAGAAAGAATAAAGGAAGGAGAGAATATCCAGCTAAGATGGCCTTCTCCTTAGAGGAGGCAGTGGGTGTCACTGGGAGACATAAGTAAGTCTCTGGGGTTCATAATGGTTTTTGTCTTATTTTTACACACACAAATGCCTCATAATTCTTCTGACTGTTAAAAAAACCCTCCAGGACAAAAAAGCACAACATTTAAAGTGCTATCCTTAAAATAGATAAGGAAACCAGGTTCTGTTGTTCACTTCTGTAATCCTAGTTACTGAGGAGGCTGAGACTGGGAGAATTGTGGAGACTACCCCGGGCAAATAGTTCATGGCACCTGTCTCAAAACTAACCAGAGCAAAATGGACTGGAGGCACAGCCTAAGTGATAGAGCACCAGCTTTGCAGGCACGAATCCCTGAGTTCAAACCCCAGTCCTACTAAACAAATAAACACAGTAGGTAAGGAGACCATGCCTGTAGCTTAGAAGATCATGAGGTGATCTTGAGGAATCTTTTTTAAAGACAGTCTTGGGCTGTAACAGTTCCTTTAAGCTTTGGGATTTTTCTTGTTTGGTTTTTCTGTGGACCAGCTGGGCAGGATCCCCCACGTACAGGGCAAGTGCTCTACCACTGAGCTACACCCCAGCCCCGTACTGCTTTTTCTTTGAGGACAGTGTGGTTGACCCCAAGATGTCCACATCCTCGTCCCCAGAACTTCCCTGGGAAATACACTAGGCAGATGTGATGGGGAGAGTGTCGTGGGTGACCTGGGAGAGGCCACTGTCATCACAAGGTCCTTCCCAGAGGGAGGCAGGTGGGTCAGAGGGAGGACCAGATGCCAAGAAAGAAGAGGAGCTGCAGGCCCAGGAAGCCTGAAGCTGGAAGGCCCAGGCGTGAGCACGTGAGCGAGTCAGAGAGCCCTGCAGTCTGACACACGTGCTTTGAACAGTAAGGTTCTGGTAACACGTCATGGAGAAGGCTTGTTTGTTTTTGTAAATGAGAACTGGAGGTGCCTTTGGAGGTGGTTAATAGGTGACATGTTTATGCTCCCCAGAGGGGATGGCCCTGGGAAATTTGGCTGAGTGCAGGTGACGATGGGATGAAGTGTTGCATTCAGGGCAAGCTTGAGTATGGGTTGTGGTCTTTTTTTTTTTTTTTTTTTGATGCTGGGAATTGAACCTAGGGCCACACTGGTACTAAGCACATGCTCTCTTACTGGGCTCCATGCCCAGACTCTGGGGTCCTCTCCTGACTTACACTTCTCAGCCATCTTCCTGTAGGGTGGAAAAGGGCGCCCCACTTGTAGGCCACTTTATCCTGAGGCCCATTTTAACTTGGACAAGAGCTTCAACCAAGAAACAGCCACCAGAGGTCTCCCTCCTCAGTGTCACTGTCCTGTGGGGAACCTCTCCTGTGGCCCTTTAAGGAAGAGGGCAGGGCGGGATGCTTCCTGGTCCTTAACCAATAGCGATTGTACACACTCATATGTCCCAAGGTTAGGTCACCTGTGCATTACCTTTGTGAAGTCAGAAAGGAAAGTGAGGCCATGAAAAAGCTGCGACGTTTCATAGGTTAAAACCCTCTTTGATTCCATAGTCTTAATGTAGTTTTGGTATTTTTTGGTGGTACTGAAGTTTGAACTCAGGGCCTCACACTTGTTAGGCAAGTGTTCTGCTACTTGAGCTATGCCCCCAGCCCTTTTTGCTTTGGTTTATCTTTCAGATAGGGGCTCATACTTTGGTCCAGGCTGGCCTCAGACCCTAGTCCTCCTATTTCTGCCTCCCAGGTAGCTGGGATTACAGGCATTCACCACCACACCCAGCCCTTAGTGTAGTTTTAAATAGTGGTTCCTAGAGGATGGATAGCTAGCACCCAAGGGTGGGGGACACTGTTGAACACAGCAGCTGGAATCTCTCATCCTCTGTGTTCTTGTGTGGTAGGAAGAGGGGAATAAGACCAGTGGCTGCAGCAAGAAGGATCTGAACATGGTTAGGGAGTTTATGTTTTTACTGCAAATGCTCTTGATCAGTGTCAATAATGACCTTAACATTCACAGTTTCGAGTCCTCCCAACCCTAAAGGCTCAGGAGACGTGGTAACTCTTTCTTGTCTAATTGTCCAAGCTTGAACCCGGATGTCATATAGATCTGGGTGTGGCATACACCATTGGGAGCATCTCCTAAGCTGGCATTTGCATCTTGGGATTCTTTGTTCTTATTTTTAAAATCTTGTGGGGGTGGATGCTGTTACAGAGCCATTTATAAACCTGGGTGTAGATGTCTCCCACTGCCTCCCTCAACTCGAAGGGTCTGCTGGTGTCCTGGGTGGTCAAAGAGTGGACCCTTTCCCATGGAATCAGCTTTCATCCCTGGAAGTTCCTGGAGAACAGGGGCCACCTGGAAGAGGGTCCCTCCACCCCTTCCCTGAGCCTTGTGATTCTGGCACATTTCACCCAGGAGCCACTTGTGAGATGTGCTGCCTGCTCCTCCGTGACTGACGACGTGACAGTGCTGGAAGGAGGCTGTCCGTGTAACTCTGTGCCCAAGGGTGCCTCAGGGCCCAGTGCCAGCTAGTGAGCCTCCACCCCTGTCGTAGGACACGGGGTTCTCAAATCCCAGCTCCAAAACCAGGTCAGACTCATCCTGAGTCCCCAGTCTAAAAGTCGATTGGGGAGGTGTTGTAGGATTTAGCTGTGGGATACATGTGTGGTCTGCCAAAAACACAGCTGAAATAGCCCAGTTGCTCACATTTTAAACTTCCATTTAGAGAGCCCAGTAGCTGAGTGAGGAAGTTGGGGTGTCCCAGGGAGGAATGCGCCTAATATCTGTCCCCGCCTCCTTGCTCTAGGGTAATAAGTATGTTCCAGTCTCCAGGCAGCCAAAGAAATCAGGGATAGCAAGAGTGACCTTTGACCTGTACAGGATGAACCCCAAGGACTTCCTCGGCTGCCTCAACGTCAAGGCCACCATGTACGAGATGTACTCAGTGTCCTATGACATCCGATGCACGGGGTTCAAGGCCATGCTGAGGTAACAAACTCCAGGGGTTCCCTCTGGGGTCTGGAAACCCCAGTACAGGTACAGGTGGCTCATCCCTGACTCACTGCCCTGCTTCCAGCGCCAACTCTAGGAGCCGGGTCTGACATTGTCGTCTGGTGTTCTGTTGTCTTAAGTGATTCAACTCTCAACACCACAGACTGTGTAAGAAAACACAAAATCCATCCACAACAGATTTTCATCCCCTTCAAAGACCATTAAATACTAAGTGGAAACACAGGCTAAGTCACGAACACAAAGGAGAATCAAATTTCACTTAAGAATTGGAGTTAGATATTTTAGAATTTTTTTTTGCAGTGTTGGGATTTGAGCTCAGGACCTCACACTTGCTAGGCAGGCACTCTGCCACTTGAGTGACTCTGCCGGCACTGTTTTGTGACATAGTCTCATGAGCTATTTGCCCAGGCTGGCTTGCACCATCCCACAGATACCTCCACCCACAGGTGCCACCATCCCACAGATCCCACCACCCACGGGTGCCACCATCCCACAGGTGCCACTCAGCATTATGAGAGAGACAGCTTTGAGAAGCCACACCTTAGAAGTTGTGTTCATCAGCTCTCTGTTGCTGTGACAACATACCTGAGACAAATCACATTTAAAACAGGAAAGGCTAATTTGGGCTTTGGAGGTTTTAGTCTGGGTTCATTTGGCCTTTGCTGAGCAGCACAGCATGGTGCGAGCATGTGGCAGAAGAAGCTGTTCACCTCATGGTGGATGAGAAGCGGAGGGAGGGAGAGAGGGAGAGAGAGAGAAGAGAGAGAAGAGAGAGAGAGAGCGAGAGAGCGAGCCAGGATCCCATTGACACCATATGACCGGATGGCTTTTACCTGGGCCCCATTCCCAACAGTGCCACAGGCTGGGCCAACCCTTAACGCATGGGCCTTTGGGGGACATTTGTCCAAACTATAGCAAAGTGATTTGAATCAAGTCTATGTGTTCAGTAGGACCCCTCTCTGGGTGTCCCTGCGCCATAAGCAGGGTGGTGCCCTTGCCACTGAGACCTGCACTGAGGGAGACACCTGCAGTCCCTCCTTTGAGTCACCAGCTGTGTGGTCAGGTTACTTACCTCTTCTGAGGCCTCTGTCTCATCATCTTTAAAATGAATTCTCTAAGATTGCAGCACAGGCTCTAAGTTGACCCCTTGTGCTCCTTCAGGAAATTCACCATTGGTCCTCTAACAAGCTCATCTCCTGCAGTGGGAGTGGACAGAAGGGGAGAGGCTGACAGCCACTGGCAGGTCTTTGAGACTAAAGAGTTTGTAACTGCTGCCGGGTGTGGTGGTGCACACCTGTAATCCCAGCCCTCAGATGACTGAGGCTTGAGTTCAAGGCCAGCCTGGGCTAGCTTGCAGCTACTCCCTTCAGGTGCTGTCTGGGCTCAGGCCAGGGCCTGCTTGTTTCTCTGAGGGCCCAGTTTTTCACTCCACTGTCCTCGTGAGACTGCTCCGATCCACAGAGCATAGTGCCAGGAGACGTGCACCTACTGTCCTCTCCCAGGGCCCCTGGTCCCCGCACAGGTCAGACCTGCAGCTTCTGCATAGCATCCTTTCCTACCTGAAGCTTTCCCACCAGTGGCTGACCCCTAGACCATGATCACTGCTGTAATGGTGAGACCTTGACATCCAGGAGAGCTTCCCTGTTGTTGCTAAAATGGAAAAAAAAAAAGAAAAATAGCTGTTTTGTTTAGTTTTGAAAGTGAAGCAGGAGAGTTATAACAACTTAGAAGAGTAAAATGGAGGACAAAGCCTTACCCAAATACCCCATGAGCAAAAGCTTCCTACAGCACCACAGTGCAGGGGAGGCCAGGACAGGGGCTCTCCTGCCGACAGCCAACCCCAAGGTAGGGGACAGCTTCAGCCATGGCTGCATGTCCAGCTGCCGTCTTGTGAAGTGAGGGGACTCACGTAGGAATAATAACTTGGAGTTTTTCTTCTCTCTCTTTTTTAAAATCTGAAATAACAGTGGCTCAGCCCTCTGACTTAAGAGGCCAGTTGAGGACACAAATGATCCCTTCCGTAACTTCAGGAACAAGCTGCAATAGCCCGGTCACCTTCAACAGCTGGACTGGAGGCAGCATTCCCACCAGGTAGGCTTCTTGCCTGACATGGCTCCTGTCTTGCTCTGTTGCAGGAGCCTGCTGCGGTTCGTGTCCTATGCTGCTCAGGTGACCGGACAATTCCTCGTCTACGCTGGCACATACATGCTTCGAGTGCTGGGTGACACGGAAAAGCAGCCTTCTCCCAAGTCGCATGCCAGGGGCTGGTTCGCCTGTACATAGGTGCACCGAGCCAAGGGTGCAGCAGCTTCAAGCACTTACTTCCCAGTGACGAATTTCGAAGATGTTTTGTCTCATTTCCCACGTGCACGTGCAGGCCGCTGGTGGCAGCTGCTCAGAGGGCTGCCGGGGGAGGGGAAGGGCCCTGGAGGGGGGAGGAGACATGGAGGGGCCTTAGGGTGCTGTAGGAGCAGCAGTGTGTCTGGGAGTGGCGTGAACGTGTATCAGACCCTTCGGGGCCCCCACCTCCTGTAATAAACCCATCACGAGCACCACCTCAATGTGTGCAACACTTCCTGGGTCTCTCCAATCTCCAGACATACCCGAGCTTCACAGAGATTCAGTACACCTTCAGATGGAATTGCTGTTGACTCTTTATTAGGTGTTTTTCAGATAGGGTCATGAGTTTTTGCCCAGGGCAGCTTGGATCTCAATCCTGCTATTTACATTTTGCCCCTAGCTGGGACCACAGGTACCCACCACTGCATTCAGCTTATTCATTGAGATGGGGTCTCTGTAACTTTTTGCCTGGGCTGGCCTCTATACTCCTCCCAAGTAGCTGGGATTACAGATGTGGGTCACTGAACCTGGCTAAAGGTGAGTCTTTAATGAACCAAAGGGACCCTAAAGTTTAAGGACCCGACATTTTGGGGGCTTTTCATCTTTTCCTTAGAAAGAAAAAATGCTTGAAACCTTGCGTCGATGTCTAGTGCTACTGAATGAAGCTTGCTCTTTTGATACTGCCAGGTTACCAGGGGACTTTTGGTGGCCAGAGGCAAAGCTCTGCCTCACACTGGCCAACCAAAGAGGAGAATGCCTTCCTAGACCACCGCTGCAGTCATAGCTGCTTGGAAGCCCTTGTCTGGAATCTGCCTCTCCATCTCTTTGTTCTTCTTTCCTCTGTGTTAGCCTCACCACTGGCCCACCCTGTCACAGGGGAGCCAGCTGTCATCCTCATCTCCCACAGCAGGAGGCTCTGGACTAAAGTCCCAACAGGGCATTGAATCCCAGAAGGAAACAAGGTGCTGGTCCTATAAAAAGGAGACACCAATCTGTTCCTTTTCCTGTTAGGAAATGTGGCTCCAAGGTCTTTCTTCCTTTCCTAGCTGCCAACTCTGGCCCAGGGAAGTCTCCACAGGGTGTTCTGAACGCCTGGAAGAAGAGCCCCCCACAATCCTTTCAGCTCCCTCGCTTGCTCAGGCCCTCCCCGCCCTCACAGTAGAGTTCAGTCTGTGCAGACCAGTTCTGAGCAGTGCTCTTGGAGCCCCAGGGCCTCATAGGGAGAGGCCGGAGCGAAGGAACCAGGGGGTGCGCCTCCCTGCTCGGCCTCTGCCAGGATGGGTTTTCTGATGAAAACACAGGCACTGCTTAGAGCCCCTCCCCTGCAGGCTCAGCACTTCTAGAATGGGGCACAGCAGAAAGTGGGAGGAGTTACAAGGTATTGCAGATACAACCCCAAGCTGCCCTCTCAGAGCCCTCCCCATGCCCTTCTGTCACTGCAAGAGAGAAGGAGGTGACACGGATCTCTGCTGTGGGGCCCTCTGTGTCTGCCCTGCAGCAGGCTGCCGCCTTGTGGCCCCTGGACTTGCGTCACTTCCCAAGGATCCCGCTCTCCAGGGAAGCCACTGCCTGGCTTCCAAAAAAGGAATTTTCAGTCCAGTGCCTGATCCTGTTGAGTCAGCCGCTGCCATGGCTCAGCCGTCCCCAGCAAGTGAGGCCTGTCCTGCCCTGGCTGAAGGCAGGCAGTGGGAAACAGGGCCCAGCCTGTGTGCAGGGAGGGCCTCCTGTGACCAAGTGTGCATGTGGAGAGGAGCACCTGGTGCTGGGGACTTCGGACACACGCAGCTGACTTCCCTGGTCTCCAGTACCCATGATTGCTGGGGTGACTGGGATAGAGCCAGCCAGTCACAGAACCTCAGGGGAGGCTCAGGACCTCTGGGCTGCATGCTGGAGACCTGCAGGGAGGAGGCCCCAAAGGTTGGTCATCAGAGACTGCAGAGGGCCCTTGGTGAGCCTTTGAACCTGGATGAGAAAAGATAGAGTTAACCTCCATCCCCCTTACGGAAGAGCCTCAGCAGGTGCTGCTCTCCCTCTCTCTCTGGTTTGGATTAAGCGACAAGCATGCCAAACATGACAGTTTCTCTTTCTGATTTGCATTTCTCAGTAGCTCACACTTAGTCACTAGCTCAGACGACACGGCTCAGAAAGAGGCAGGAGCAGGTCGGGCTGGCTTCAGCAGACCTGAACTCAGCTGCCACCAATAGCCAAGCCAGTGGCTGGGCCTACTGCAGTGCCGGGGACCCTTTCAAGGTCCTGGATGGGGCCAAGCCAAGAGCACCGATTTATTCATGTCTAGAATCATAATTCAGAAAAGAAATGGTTCTCATCAGCTCGGGACTCGTGGTCCTGCCTTTGCCTTGTGGACCGTGGCGCTTATGCTAGTGTGCCCCTTAACACGTGCGTGGACAGGAGCTCCACACCCACCACGGTGTCCCCATATGCACATGGTGTCCCATGGCCACGCGATTAGCAGACCAGACTCAGGCTTTCTGTCATAGTGGAGGTCAGCGTGCCACTGAGGACTTAGCTATTTCCTCATGGCCACAGCCACAGTTAAAATCGCCCTGCTGTGAACAGACATCCCTGCCCCATGTCTTTCCTTTTCTGTAAAATTAGGATCCAGCCTGGGTGGTCTGGCAATCCCATTCCTGGGTACATTTGCTTGGCACAGCTTTTTAAAATGTAAACATTGCACCTTTAGCCAGTCGGCACTTCACCCTTGGCCATGGTTCTGTTCTCCTGTCCTCCCTGTGGAAGGCATGTGTTTCCCGCCAGGCCCATGTGGCCTTTTTAAAACTAGGATCCTAAACCTGGGGTCCCAGTTCCTGAACGTTCTCCTTTCTCCTCACAGGGCTCAGTGCCTTAGCTCCCTCTGATCTGGGGTGCGGGGATTGAATCCAGGGCTCACACATACTGGGCAAGAGCTCCATCACGAGCAACACGCCCAGCCACATCTGTGATTGTCCTGCAGCACATCTGCTCCTCCGGAGAGGCCCTGGGCATGGCATACAGGGGACACAGGCTTGGCTAGCCAGCCACTTTCCTCCAGCTCCCCAGACTGTGAGAATGGGGCTTTTTTCTTTCTTTCTTTTTTTTTTAATTTTAATTTTTTTATTATTCATATGTGCATACAATGCTTGGGTCATTTCTCCCCCCTGCCCCCACCCCCTCCCTTACCACCCACTCCGCCCCCCCCTCGCCCCACCCCCTCAATACCCAGCAGAAACTATTTTGCCCTTATCTCTAATTTTGTTGTAGAGAGAGTATAAGCAATAATAGGAAGGAACAAGGGGTTTTGCTGGTTGAGATAAGGATAGCTACACAGGGAGTTGACTCACATTAATTTCCTGTGCGTGTGTGTTACCTTCTAGGTTAATTCTTCTTGATCTAACCTTTTCTCTAGTTCCTGGTCCCCTTTTCCTATTGGCCTCAGTTGCTTTTAAGGTATCTGCTTTAGTTTCTCTGCGTTAAGGGCAACAAATGCTAGCTAATTTTTTAGGTGTCTTACCTATCCTCACCCCTCCCTTGTGTGCTCTCGCTTTTATCATGTGCTCAAAGTCCAATCCCATTGTTGTGTTTGCCCTTGATCTAATGTCCACATATGAGGGAGAACATACGATTTTTTGGTCTTTTGTGCCAGGCTAACCTCACTCAGAATGATGTTCTCCAATTCCATCCATTTACCAACGAATGATAACATTTCGTTCTTTTTCATGGCTGCATAAAATTCCATTGTTTATAGATACCACATTTTCTTGATCCATTCATCAGTAGTGGGGCATCTTGGCTGTTTCCATAACTTGGCTATTGTGAATAGTGCCACAACAAACATGGGTGTGCAGGTGCCTGTGGAGTAACCTGTGTCACAGTCTTTTGGGTATATCCCCAAGAGTGGTATTGCTGGGTCAAATGGTAGATCAATGGTTAGCTTTTTAAGTAGCCTCCAAATTTTTTTCCAGAGTGGTTGTACTAGTCTACATTCCCACCAACAGTGTAAGAGGGTTCCTTTTTCCCCGCATTCTCGCCAACACCTGTTGGTGGTGGTGTTGCTGATGATGGCTATTCTAACAGGGGTGAGGTGGAATCTTAGTGTGGTTTTAATTTGCATTTCCTTTATTGCTAGAGATGGTGAGCATTTTTTCATGTGTTTTTTTGCCATTTGAATTTCTTCTTTTGAGAAAGTTCTGTTTAGTTCACTTGCCCATTTCTTTATTGGTTCATTAGTTCTGGGAGAATTTAGTTTTTTAAGTTCCCTATATATTCTGGTTATCAGTCCTTTGTCTGATGTGTAGCTGGCAAATATTTTCTCCCACTCTGTGGGTGTTCTCTTCAGTTTAGAGACCATTTCTTTTGATGAGCAGAAGCTTTTTAGTTTTATGAAGTCAAATGGGGCTTTTTTCTTCAGGAGGGGAATCCTACATGCTGTCAGCACATGGGCAAGTCACACTTCTAAGGGGGACTGTCCCCACTCAGCCTCCTGTCTCCCACTCTTCTCATTTATTCTAAGCAAATCACACAGAAGGAAAACTCTGGCAGCATCCCTCTCCTTCCTGCACCTCCTTTAAGACACCTGCTCCTTGCTGCAGTCAAGCCGCTGTGTTTAGGGTGGGCTGTTGCATGTTCAGCAATCACACACTCATTCTCCCCGTGCCAGCCTGCTATTCATTGTGGCTGTCTTGGCTGGGAGCTTCTTACAATTTGAAGTTGTCCAGAGCTGGAAGGTCACTTGTCCACACAAAGCATCCCTTTAGTTCTTGGGGTGAGGCAAGCACCCCTTCTTTGAGGAACAACTAGGCCCTGCTCCATGATGTGTGGGTGAAGCTGCCTGTGTGCCACACAACAGAGGCCAAGTGGCGCTGCACTGGTGTCATGACTGCACGAAGCCCTAAGGGAATGAGAGCAGCGCATAGACCAAAGCCGGATGGAAACATGGAGATCTCGGA